CTCAGGAAGATGTAGAACTGGAATGAGCCAGTTCGAAATCCTGATTTCTTTTATTTTGGAAACTTAATTTAAAAAAATATGTATTGTAAAATATGGAACAAAATTCAATGTTTTTTGAAATCATTTTATTAGTGGCTCATACAACTTTTATCACAATCCATACATACATCCTTTGTATCAAGCACATTTGTACATTTGTTGCCATCATCATTTTCAAAACATTTTCTTTCCACCTGAGCCCTTGGTATCAGCTCCTCATTTTTTCCCCTCCCTCCCTCATGAACCCTTGATAATTTATAAATTGTTATTATTATTTTATCATATCTTACACTGTCCAACGTCTCCCTTCACCCACTTTTCTGTTGTCTGTCCCCTAGGGCGGGGGTTATATGTAGATCCTTGTAATTGGTTCCCCCTTTCTACTCCACCTTCTGTCCACCCTCCCGGATCACTGGCCCTGAGGGGTTCATCTGTCCTGGATTCCCTGTGTTTCCAGTTCCTATCTGTACCACTGTACATCCTCTGTTCTAGCTGGATTTGTGAGGTAGAATTGGGATCATGATAGTAGAGGTGTGGAAGCATTCAAGAACTAGAGAAAAGTTGAATGTTTCATTGTTGCTACACTGTACCCTGACTCGCTTATCTCCTCCCTGAGACTCTTCTGTAAGGGGATGTCCAACTGCCTACAGATGGACTTTGGGTCCACACTCCGCACTCCCCCTCATTCACAAGGATACGATTTTTGTTCTTTGATGTCTGATACCTGATCCCATTGACACTTTGTAATCACACAGGCTGGTCTGCTTCTTCCATGTGGGCTTTATTGCTTCTGAGCTAGATGGCCGCTTGTTTATATTTTGATAGCCAAGCACCATCAGCTTTCTTCACCACATTTGCTTATGCATCTGCTTTGTCTTCAGTTATAGTGTCGGAAGGTGAACACCAGGGAATACCAGTTTAATAGAACAAAGTGTCCTTGCATTGAGGGAGTACTTGAGTAGAGGCCAATGTCCATCTGCTACCTTAATACTAAACCTATAAATATATACACATAGATCTATTTCCCTATTGTTATATATAAATATATTTACTCATGTACATGCCTGTATTTTAAGGTGACTAGATTTTAACATTGGTAAAGCGGGACACCATTAATAAAACTCATATCCTGGTGAAATAGCCACATGACAGCCGAAAACCATATACCCTAGCTTATCATGCATTCTTTCCAAAAATTGGGACTTTTTAAAAACACTGCGGGACGTGGGAAAAATTGTTCAAAATTGGGACTGTCCCGCCAAAAGTGGGACATCTGGTCACCTTAAATGTATTTAGACCTCTATAAATACCCTTTGCCATCTAGTTCTTTCCTCTATTTCCTTTTACTTTCCTCTTGTCCCACTATCATGCTCAGCCTTCATTTGGGTTTCAGTAATTGCCCTTGATCAAGCCCTACCAGACCTCTACACCCTCTTCTCCACCAATTTTGGATCACTTGTTGTTCCCTTGTCCCTGGGTTTGTTAACACCGCTTCCTTTCCCCCACACCCCCCTCTCCCATGTTCCCCCAGAACCATTGGTCCCATTGTTTTCTCCTCCAGATTGTTCATCCATCCAATTTTACCTAGATAGACCTGCAGAGATAATCATATGCACAAAAACAAGACAGAACAAAAGAAAGCAACAAGAAAATAAAACAACAACAACAAAACCAATGAAAAAAAAGAAAAGCCTGTAAAAAGTTCAAGGTCTGTTTGTTGACTTTTAGGAGTATTTTACGGTCAAGCCTGATGGGGTGCCATGCCATGGCCCCAAAGTCCATTTTTGGTATTCCCTCGTGACTTCCTTGCTCTGCTCCCCTTGCTCTGCTCCCCTTGCTCTGTTGCATGCTCTTAGTGTTTTGCCTCCGTGTGGTGGGATCAGATCGGGCACAATTCCCATACTGTGTCCAGTGTTGTCTCCTGTAGGCCTATGGGTCAGTGAGGGATGTCACGTCTCGTTGTGGGGCCAGGCATATGGTCTCCTCTGTGCATTGGCTGCTCTGAGCAGGGATATCGACCTCAAGGCTTGGTGGGCCAGGAAGTGCTCCACTCTCTCATCCTCCCCCTTCATTTGCTCACGTGTGCCCTGATCAGACGTGTCCCTTTCCCTGAGCTGTAGCTTCAGTGCTGTCCTCTAAAGTAAATTCCTCTAGGGGGAAGGGCGGCTGTCCCATGTAGTTGGGATTGGGGCCGGCCCGTCAGACCTCTCTACTGGTTCCCTGCTTTAACCATATAGGCATGCGATTGCCTATTCCAGATTTTTTTATAACTGGAATCCTGTAATTTTTGCCCTTTTGTATCTGATGACATAGTGTTTATGTGTCGGGCTGCTAACCACAAGTCTACAGATCCAAACCACCAGCTGCTCCTCAGGAGAAAGGCGGATGGAGCATTCTTCTCCCATACAGGATTACAGTCTTGGAAACTCTCAGGGCAGTTCTAGTTATATAGGGTCGCTCGGATTGGGAATACACTTGATGATAGTGAATTTTTTGGGGTCTTTATCTGACTACTCTCAGACAGCATGTATTAGAACTTTGTTTTTATTGTTGAATAAAACTCCCTTGTATGTATCTTACATTTTGTTTATTCATCTGGTGAATATTTGGGCTATTGCTACCATTTGGCTATTTTGAATAATAGTACTATGAGCATTGGCATACAAGTAAAAAAGGGTCTAGAACAGGGGTTCTCAACCCGTGGGTCACGACCCCTTTGGGGGTCATTCAACCCTTTCACAGGGGTTACCTGATTCATAACAGTAGCAAAATGACACTTATGAAGTGGCAATGAAAATAAGTTTATTGTTGGGTCACCACAACACGAGGAACAGTATTAAAGGGTCATGACATTAGGAAGGTTGAGAACCACTGTTCTAGAGGTTCATGGACAAGTTCCATGAACTTTTTGAAGCACCCCTTTCAGGTGTCTGAGTCTCTGCCTTCAGTTCTCTTAGGCCTGTATTTAGGAGTGGTATTGCTGCAGTATGTGGTAATTCTGCCATCTTTGCAGAATTGCCAAACTGTGTTCCATAGCAGGTGTGCAATTTTACATTCTTACTGTGCAAGACTGATGTGGCGGCTGTCTGATCTCCAGCTGCACGGAGGGGGAAGAAAACCCACCTCCATATCTGCCCAAGATTAAGAAGTCAGACTTGACTTCACCCTCCGACCATCTTCTGCCACCAACCATCCCTCCCACAGCACTCGACTTCTCTGCTAGGTTCAATAATCCATTACAACGGCCACACAGAACTCCGGCAATACTCATTGGCGGGCCTTTATTACGGAAGCTAACAGGATGCCACAAGGAAATGATACACAGTTTTATGTCTGCAGTACCTCCTCTCAGCCATGCCCACAGGCATGCAACTCTGTAGGCATCAGCTTTAGACCATTCCCTTGGTCTGTGCCTTATTCTGGCCAGTGTCACAAAGCTCTGTCCGCGGATCAATGTCTAAAGGGCACCCTCTCTGCAAACCAACATTCTGTTTGGAGTTGCTTCAGTGGACTACTGCTGCTCTGTCTCATGGTTTCAGCACTACTGCTTTTCAGCATAAGGCTCTTAGATACACTCTACTCATGGTTCGTCCTTCTTTCCTGGTGGTCACGAGATTGTCATTCTTGCTTCTGAGAAGGCTCACTGTATACCCAGGGAATGGCAAAACAATTCCAATGTTAGAGTCATTTAGTAGGATTTACAAAGACTGGATAGCAGAGCCAAGCCACGTAATTAAATAAGTCACACACCAGCATTGAGCAAGAGTTTTAATCCTCTACAACACTTTTATTTTTCTTTTTATTTAAAGAAATAAAAAGCCATCCCAGTGGCTCTGAAATGGTATCATTGTCACCTTGATTTGCATTTCCCTAATAACTAATGATGTTGTACCGTTTTTCATGTGATTATTGACCATTTTGATATTCAGAGAAAGTTCTATTCAAATCCTTGCCTATTTTAAATTGGGTTGTTTGTGTCTTTTTTGTTGTTGAGTTACAGGTATTCTTTATGTATTCTGGAGACCAAACACTTACTAGATATAGTTCCCAAATGTTTTCTCTTTGTTCTGTAGGGCCCTTCTTTCATCTTCTCAATAATGCCCTTGGCTGTATAAAGGATTTTGATTTTGATGAAGTTTAGTCTATCTGTTGGGAACTTAAATTTTAAGGCAAATTATTTAAAACATTCTCTTTTGTTATTTCACAAATTGCTTCTAATTTGTAAATACCATATATACTGTAGTATAAGCCCCCCCCCCCAAATATCCACCAAGGCACCTAATTTTGCCACAAAAACTGCATTAAAAACATGCTAAAAACTCGGTTGATACTCGAGTATATATGCTATTACAGGTGAGATGATGATAAGTAAATGATATAGATAACTCGCGCAAGTTCTTTTTTTAAAATTTTTAATCGTTTTATTAAGGGCTCATACAACTCTTATCACAGTCCATACATAGATCTATTGTGTCAAGCACATTTGTACGTTCATTGTCCTCATTATTCTCAAAACATTTGCGCTCCATTTAAGCCCCTGGCATCAGGTCCTCATCTTTTCCCCTCCCTCCCCGCTCACCCCTCTCTCATGAACTCTTGATAATTTATAAATTATTATTTTGTCATATCTTGCCTTGTCCGATGTCTCCCTTCATCCACTTTTCTGTTGTCTGGGACCTGGGAGGAGGTCACATGTAGATCCTGTAATCAGTTTCCCCTTTCCAACTACCCTCTCCTTCTACCCTCCCAGTATCGCCACTCACACCACTGGTCCTGAAGGAATCATCCGCCCTGGATTCCCTGTGTTTCCAGTTCCTACCCTGTTTCCCCGAAAATAAGACAGTGTCTCATATTATTTTTTGCTCCTGAAGATGCGCTAGGTCGTATTTTCAGGGGATGTCTTATTTTTCCACGAAGAAAAATACGGTACACATTTATTGTTTATTGTTTTATTAAAAGAGACCTCGCACTTGCAGTTTCTCCGGCTGCACTGCGGCTAACATTGAGCTGTGCAGCTGCGGCCGCCTGCTGCTACAGTCCAGAGTTACGGTAGCTTAGGGGGCCCTTATTTTCGGGGAGGTCTTATTTTCAGGAAGATGCCTTATATTTCAGCGAGAACTCTCTCATGTTCATATTGGCTCCGACAAACCAAACTCGTTGACCTCAAATAGATTCCAACTCACAGTTAACATTAAAAAACAGACATACCTATAGCTTAGACCTGACCGGTAGGGAATAATATTTTTTTCTAATAATAGAACTTTGTTTTCTTGAACTTTTCCCCATGATTATTTATTTATTTATTTTTGGAAATAAGTTATTGTTCTGTACTGTTGAGTTATTTCCTACTATTAATGACCCTATGTACAACAGAACGAAACAGTGTTTAGCATGCCATCCTCACAGTTATTATGTGTGACTTTCTTTCATATTCATTTTGTACAATGTTATCAGGATAAAGTAAAGGGTTAGCATAATCTGTCAACTTGAGCAGATGGGTGGAGTCTAGCCTGTCAATCAGGTTATAGCCAATGAAGCCTCTGTCTGGTCATGACCTTCTCCTGAGGATTCTGGGAACTCCTGTCTTCCTCCCTGGAGGCAGGACACACTGTCCCTGCAAGACATTCCTGTTGACAAGCCACATGGAGCTACACTGATGAAGCTAGAGTCCTGAAGCTAGAGGAGCCACTTGGAGACCCATGCCAACACTGACTGGATCCACAAGACTTTCCACCTACTGGCCTGTGAGCTTCCTGCATTCAGCATCATTGCATGTGTTGCATGAGTCTGAAGAGGAATTATAGACTGGTATCGGACATATGGGCTAATATCGGACTTATGGACTTGCTCTGGACTGGGCTGGGATGTTTTCTTAATAAGAAATTACTCTGACAAAATAATAATAATTTATAAATTATCAAAGGTTCATGAGGGAGGGGAGAGCGGGGAGGGAGGGGGAAACGAGCTGATATTAAGGGCTCAAGTTGAAAGCAAATGTTTTGAGAATGATAATGGCAACAAATGTACGAATGTGCTTGACAGAATGGATATATGTATGGATTATAGTACTAATTGTACGGGCCCCCAATAAAATGATTTAAAAAAATAAACAATTACTCTTTGATACAAAACTCTTTTGCATATATATGAGTGTCTCTGGATTTTCTCTAGTCAACCTGGCCTAACACATTGTGCTTGAGTCATTGCTGAATTCCCGTAAAGTGGCATCCTTGACAACTTCAGCCTTTTCTCTATTAAATTGTGATACTGTCTTTTGGTGAGGTTGTAAGGATTTTTGTATTGTCTATATGGAGTTACAAGCTAAACCGAAGGCTTCATTCTTGAATTTCTATCAGCACGTGCTTAAACTCTTAGCTTTCAGCAAGCAAGGTTGTGTCATCTGCATATTGCAGGTTATTAATCAGCTTTCTCCAATCCTGATGCCACACTCTTCGTTATATAATCCAAGTTAGATTATATGCTCAGCATACAGATACAATAAGCATGGTGAAATGATACACCCAACTCACCCTTTTCTTGATTTTAAACTGCAGGTACGGACTGCGAGAATTTGTGGTGATCGCTCCGGCTGCAAATAGTGACGCTGTACTCAGTGAATCCAAGTGCAATCTTCTCTTGAGTTCTGTTTCTGTTGCTTTGGGGAACACTGGCTGGTAGGTGGACATGTTGCAAATAAAAACAAAGATAAAATTTACTTTTAATAATTTAAGGAAAACAGCTACTAAAAGCTTGGGATTTTAAAAAATTATAATTAGGTCTTTAATACCTGTCCTTTTATATTTTAACACTGAAGTGTAATGAAAGTCCTATGGAGAACTTTTCTAAAGGAAACTTTATTAAAATATTTAGTATATATTTGAGTTGAATAAATTATACTACTTATTGTTCTTTGCTTTAGAAAGTTTAGCTTATTTAAATTATGCTGCAAAATATTTCAAAATGTGATTGCTTTTAGGTAAGATTGTAGCAGTGGGTTTTTGTTTTGTAGTGTCAGGTTTTATTCACATTTTGAAAGACTCATTATAGGATCACCTTTATTCAAGAAAAACATTTTTCTATTGTTTTATCATTTTTAAACAAACGATATTCTGACTAATCAAGGTTAGTAGATGATAGCTTCTTTAGTTTATTACTGTAAGGGGAAAAGTAGCCATGAGTAGCTGTGTTACTTGAGGGTAAAGTAAAAAAAATTGCTGGACAATTTTATCAAATAAACATAGTAAAATGTGAAGCTTGTTTCTTCACATATTCTCCCTCATCCATTTCTCCAGTCCTTCCTTGAAGAATTGTAAGCTCTTCAATTTACACCACATTAAAACAGCAGTTTTGACATTCTTGGGGGAATCAAATAATATTCCTTTTCAGTGTTCTTTGATTTGGGGTAAAAAGGAGCCTGAAGGGGCCAGAGCAGACCTATAGGGTCGATGAGGTAAGGTTTCCCAATGCAATTCTCCTATGACACTCCTTGCCAACCTCAGAGAATAGCCAAGTGCGTCCTACGTAGTCATGAGGGGAAACACATTTTTGGCACGAATTTCCTGGTCTTTTTTCTCACAGTGCAGTTTTCAGATTTCTTAAGCCTCTGTGATCATCCTGTACCCTCTGAGGAAATTAGTCCAGACTACCCATTGGGAGATCCCAAAGCAGTCACCATAGCTTTTTACATTACTCTCTTCTGTGAGTATCACTGACCCAGCAGATGCCCTCAGAGGCCGCTGTTTGGTTTGGACCTATTTCAAAAGGCACCTTTATGAGAATAAATGTGTTCCTGAGCGGACTTGTCTGTAGCCAGCCACTGATCCCAGAGACAGGTTTCAACGCATTTTGTTTGGAATAATCCCATACATGTGTGAACTGAAGCCCTTGCAGCAATACTTTTGGACTTTATCCTTACATATATAAATCTAGGGGCTTGTGGGGCATAGTTTGTTTTGTTTTTTGTTTACCGTTTTTAAGTATTTAAGGTTTAAAATTTTATCAACAAAGTAGTGTGACACTAGACATTTTTGGAATTGGTGATTACTTAATGTTTAATGTTATTTGATCATATCCTGCAGCCAGGTGCCACTCTTCGTGCAAATACATCACAAATGGCGGAGGATGTACGTGGGAGAATGTCAGGGGCCTGGTATCCGAACTGATTTCGAAATGGTTCATCTTCGAAAAGTGCCAAATCAGTACACTCACTTGTCAGGTCTGCTGGATATCTTCAAATCAAAGATGGTGAGTTGTTCTGATACTGTCAGGATTACCTAGGAGCCAAATAAAATAATAATTTGGCAATTTTATTCAGCATATGGAGATGTTTCTTTATAATAGCAATAATGTAATAACTTGAAGCTATAATTGACTGTTTAAATTACAATGGATGCTTGGAGAAACATCCAATTAGATTTTGAGTGCACAGTGGTAAGAAACAAATAATTAAACTGATTTGTGTAATCTGTTAATAATCATCATCTATTTTTGTTCTAATAGTTATCTGTCTTTCTACTCAGTGTTATGTAAATATTGTCACCTTCCCTGGATTAGTGGGTTTCAGAGACTTTTTGTTTTGAGCTTCTTGAAGAACTTGATTTCATAGAAATATATTTTCAATTTTGAGTCTGTAAAATAATGTAGTAGTAGAATTATAAATCTGGTTGACTTTTTTTTTTTTAACCCACTTGTACCAGGCTAAGAACTTGGGCTTTTTAAGAATTTGAGTGTGTTCCGTGTTTTTCCCTTTCTGTCCTGATAGCTGATTTGAACATTGGTAGTGGTTGCCAGGGAACACCACTGTTGACAGCTGTTTATTAAAATAAAAATGTCCATTTATTCTTTAGCACCTTTCTCAACACACAGCTGTTCTTATTAGTGTCTTGTGATTATTGTTAAGAAATCAGAGAAACATTTTAGAGCATTTCATGTTTATAAATATTTTTTTCCCTCAAAAAACTTTCTGGACTCTGAAATAGATTAAATATAGCTTAATTCTACATTTGGTTTTTGAAAATTTTTTTCTGTACACTTAAATTTTTTTAGTTTAGAAAAATGTATTAATGTATACTCTTAGCTTTTGTTTCCTCTAACCAGAAATCCTCAATAATATTTTATTTTTTTAGATCAAATTTTTGGTCAGATACAAATACCGATACTTTTCCTTTAAAAATATTAGGAAATATTGCTTTTTTACTTTTTTTCTTAAATCATTTTATTGGGGGCTC